ATTTTATGATTTCATGCATCAACATTATATTCTAGTTCTGATATTCTCTCACTTTGGTCACTTCTGCTGCCTATACTTTCAAAATAATTTTTTAACTCCTAGATTTCTATTTGGTATCTTTCAAGGACTCACATTCTTTGCTAAACTAGTTGTTCCTTTTTTGGTATTATTTTGCTTAGTTCAATAAGCTTTTTATTAGTGACTTTTCTAAGGCCCTTGATCCTTTTTAAGGCCATTATCTGTTTGGTCATATCATCTTTGAGCTTGCAGTCACCTTATTTATGTCAAGTATTGTCTCTTCTTTTATCACTTCATATAATTCAGATGTTTAGCTTATGCTTTCCTACCCGTATATCTTCCATGATTTATCTTTGGAGAAGTTGGCAGAGATTTGAACCATGTTTTTGGCCTTGTTTTCTCATGTTTCTATTTCTGTGTATATGCAGAGTGTTAATGTTTGCTTTTAGTGCAAATACTTTGTTGCTAATTTGGAGAGCTATTTATTTAATGTCTTCTTTTCAGTGATGTGCTCTGTAAGTGGCTAACTAGAGACCTTTGTTTCTTTCCCCAGATATGATCACTTCCATTAATGTCAGAAAACAGTGGTGCAGTGTAATTGACCTGGTACTTTCTCTGTGAATGAGCTCCAGTATTGTCTATGACACAAAGACAAACAAGATATTGGTGTATAGTAAAAGCTAAAGCTAAATAATAGCAACTACTATGGTATCCTGGCAATAGGAACAAAGTCAGCAAGCATAAAAATGTCAATGAAAAGTAAATATTGACTCATCATAAGCATTAATAAAAGCTAAATCTTGGAAGCAGCCTATGTGCCCATCACCAAATTAATGAATAAAGAAAATATGGAATTTGCACACAATGCAGTACTACTTTGCAACAAAGAAACTTGAATTATTTATAGAAAAATGAATGCACCTTGAGGCTTTACTGTTAAGTGAAATAAATGAGACACACAAGCTGAATATCACATTTTCTCTTAAGTAAGAAAACCAAAATATAGATGCAAAGCAAAAAAAAAAAAAAAGATAATAGGAAGATCGACCATTTGAAAATGAGAAGGAGACCAAGAGATTAAGGGAAAAGTGAGGGAGAGAGAAGAAACAAAAAAAGAATCAAGATGTCATATTATGTACCAACTCTTTACAAAGAATATGATTATTATATAGTGCAAATGTAGTAGTTAAAAAAAGTTTGCCCCTGCTGCTGCCAGCCTACATGTGTGGGAGGCAGGAGCAGAGAGGACCTGTGTGCCTCACACCCTCCCCCATCCCTGATGCTGGCTACAGGCCTCATTCATCCTATGTGGGAATCAGCAGGACAGAGACTTTGTGCGCCCTACATCTTCTGCTGTCATTGACAGCTCAAGTCTCATGTGATTTGTGTGGAAGCCCATAGGAGAATGGCCAAACTATTAAATCCTAGCCACCTCTGCTCCTAAGTTTTCCTAAGCATAGGGCAGCATATGTGATAATCAAAAGACTGACCTAGGGGCCGGGGAGATGGCTCAGTGGAATAAGTGCTTCTCTGGCAAGTGCAAGGGCATGAGTTCAATCCCTGGTTCTGGGAAAAAAAAAAAAAAAAGACTGACCTGAGTGACATCAAGACAAACATTGGGGAGAATTTCACTCTAGGACTGAAGTGTTATAATTCTAAAGAAACTGGATGAGACATATCCTTGAGAGACAGAATTGAACAGGGAGAAAAGAGGGATCTCCCAGGATCTCCTGGAAAGCTCAAGATGGGGCATGGAGAATCACTGGGCGTATATTCTCTGCTGGAGGGCAGGTTTGGTGGATATAATCTCCAGAGGGAGCAGATCTGAAGGAGATGACATTTAGTCCAGTTGTATTGTACTACTGCCTACAACCAGCAGAAATTAGTAGTCTGAATTTCTCTAGGTCAAAAATGCCAATGAACTTATTGTCTTCACTAAAATCATAGATATATTTTCTCTGGTTAAGGTAAGTTCATGAGTAGTCCTAGAGTTTATCAGCACCTAGTTATTTGACATCATTGTCAATAATATTACTACTATAGCATGTTAACATAGTTGTTGCTGTCAGTTGGTTTTCTCTGCATGCCAACATCTGGATTGCCTGAGGGTTGAAAACAACACTGCAGCTTTCTCCCAAAGAACTGGGCACTGGACCAAAGATGTAGCAAACTTTAGCACAAACAAGCAAACAAACAAACAAACAGAAACATGAAAAGACAAGGTGATAAAATGCCTCCAAAAACTTCAGTTCCCCCCAAAGCAATTCCAGAGGCAATGGGGAGAAGGAATCATAAGCCACACAGCAAAAAAAGTCTGAAAGGGTATCAGTGGAGGTAAGACAGTTCAGTAAGGTCACTGGTGAATTTATAAGAGATATAACTAATCAGGTAATGACTTTAATGGAACAAATGATCTGCGACTCTACATAAGACACTAATAAAAATCTATTGGACTAAAAGATCCAAAAATGAGGCCACTTGTGGCAGCACACGCCTGTAATCCTAGCACGTGGGGGACTGAGGCAGGAGGATTGTTGCATGTTTGAGACCAGCCTGGGCTACAAAGTGAGCTCAAGGCCAGCCTGAACTGCATAGGGAGACCCTGTCTCAAAAAGGAAAATTAAAAAAGAAAAGAATGCCTAATATAGAAAATAATGAGTCCATAAAAATTTCTAAACAGAAATCTAGGAGATTGAAAATACAAATGAGAGTATGGGTAGCAGAAGTGCCCAATGTGAATACAAAATTATCAGATCTGTAAGACAGGGCTGTGTTTATTGACTAATGAGAGATACCCTACAAAACAGCAAGAGATCATGAAAAGTAAATCCAGAAGCTGTCGGATGACTCAAAGTAGATTAAAATAACACTAATTGGAATTAATCAGAAATCAGAAGACAGCACAAAAGGGCACAAAAATCCTGTTTAGAGAAATAATAGCAGAAAATTTCCCACATATGGAAAAAGACTTTAACATAAAGGCAAGGGAGGAAAATAACATCTAGGGTGGCCACGATCAGAAAACACCATTCTACTCCAAATAATAATTAAAAATACCAAAAATTCAACACAAGAATAGAATCTTAATGGTTGTTAAAGAAAACTAGTGAATCACATATAAAGGAAACCCAATTAGAATTAGACTTCTCAACAAAATCTTTGGAAGCAAGTTTAAAATTTAAAGGCAAAAAAAAGTTTAAAGGCAACATAGGCTGTTTTATGCTGTCTCAAAATTGATAGAGAAATAAGATATCTCCAGGATAAAGGAAACTTGAAGATATTTTTGAGCACCAAACCAGTATTCCAAAACTCCTCAAGGTTAGCTCAGAAGGAGATAATATATTAAACAAAGCCAGAATATCCAGCAGAATGAATATAGAAGGTCAAGATAGTAATTAAGCAGAAGGGGGAAAAAAAAGAAAACAGCAACAAGAAAATAATATAATGACAAGAATAAGTCAATATGTATCATTTATAACTACCAATCTAAGTGGACTGGAATTTGCCAATTTTGAGACACAGATGAGTGAGTGGAAGAAGAAACAAAATATAACAGTATGCTGTATTTAAAAACCCATTTAAGGGGTTGGGGAGATGGCTCAGTAGAATAAACGCTTCCTGGGCAAGCACAAGGGTCTGAGTTCAATACCCAGTTCTGAAAAAAAAACCCCAGCAACAACCATTTAATACACAAAAAACTCATAAACTGAAAAAAATCAAAGGATGAGAATCAACATCGCAGACAATGAGAACACAAAAATAAGCTGGAGCAGTTGGCCTATTTTGAGACAAAGTGGACTTCAAGCCAAAGCAGATCAAAAAAGTAATGAAAAAGACATTACATATTGGTTGAAGAGACTATTCAACAAGAAGTGGGAATAATTATACAGTAAACATATATGCACCAAACATGCTTCATAAAACAATTATTAATAGTCTTAAAAGATTAGATATATATCAATATAATTATAGATCAGTACTTCATTGTATATAAACATCATAGTTTCTTTATTAATGTGTTGACAACCATATAGGTTTTTCCCTAAGATTTAACTATAATAAATTGTGCTATTATAAATATAGGTATGAATATAGAACTGTGTTATGATGCTTTAATTCTATTGGGAATATACCCAGAAGGGGAATACCTGGGCTAAATGGAACCTCTAGATTTAGTTTTCAAAATGCCCTATAAAAGGCAGGACAAGTGTCATTTCCATTTTACAAAGGAAGAAGTCGAAGACTAGAGTTTCTGTCATTTGCTTAATGTTAAGGTCAGTAGATAAGAGAGAGCAAGTTAGCATCCAGGTCTTCTTGTTTACAATGTAGTGCTCTTCTACAATACTGTGCTACTTGCTGAATAGCCAAATGCTTAGTAAATGAGCAATGAAGGCTGAGTTGTATGGAAAATATATGAGATCTTTTTCTCAAGCAAGGAAAAAAAAACAATAAAGAGTAAAAGTGTGGGTGATGCTATGTCTCACATGTTAAATATCAGTGGATACAAGTTATTACTATGTCTTATAATCACTTTATGTCTTGTGATTTTTTTCCAAGGGACTGCAATATTTGAAGTGAAGTAGGAAACAGATTCAGACAGAGGTCCTTTGGACTTTTCCTATTGTTTTTACTATTTTCACATATTTGTTCTGAGGTAATGTGCTTTCTAAAACCATGTTAAAAAACAAATTAAGCATGTTAAGGAAAACAGTACATTTCAGCAAAGCTTGCCCAGGAATATATTTTGGCTGTAACCAAGTTGTCACCACTTAAAAAACAAAGCTTCTACTGTAAGATAAAATTGTTTTAAAGTATCTTTGGTATTCCTGTAGACATGCCAATAACAAGCAAAAAGTATGAAACAATAATAAAGCTTATAATTAACTTTTACTCACAAATGCATATGAAAGAACAAAATCTCTTACATATAGTTATACACATGTACATAAATATATGCACTTGAAAGAATTTGTAACATGGACTTTCACAATTTTATTTAGAGATCCTTTGTAGTTAATTTTGACCTTATTAATAGGCATGTAGAAAATTAGACCCAATTTTTTCAAATAAATTTTTAATTACTTTTGTTCATATATGCGAGTGCCAATTATCTGACTTCTTGAGGATTATATGTCATATAAGGAGATAAATCCTTACAGAAATCTCACTAGGAATTTCAAGATGCCATCATTCTCTTAGTAGACCTGGGGCAGGGGAAAAGGAACGTCGGAGATGAATTGAACTTTGATCAGGGTTATCTTCCTTAGTTTCCAGAGTATGCATTATATGGAGTCTTTAAGGACATTTTTCTGAATACTAGTCTGATCTAGCTTCTGTACACTCTTTTCTGAAAGAAAGAGCCCTACTTTTCCTACCTTGCAATAGTACAAAGCACAAGGTTGCAGTAAATTGTATGTAGCTCCTAGATTGCCTCCAGATCTCCTCTGAAGGCATGCAAAATGCATCTATAACAAAAGAATGTGTTAGAATGACTGAGAATTACTTGATAATTGTATTCTTAAAAATCTAGTTCTTATCTTTTAAAACTTATTTGAGGAAGAAAAGCTTGATCATAGATTCATTTTTATAGTGAAAAAGCACAAATATTCAACTTTTGGTGAATGGTCAACAGTTTATAATTAGCCCATAGTTGTAGACTGAATTTTTAATGCTTAATATATCTAATAATGAAATGCAAGAGTAACATATATTCATAGGCATACATACTTAAGTAAGTATTTGTAAATTATTAGTGAAAAGTTTCATTTTATTACAAATGATTTGAGAAAATAATTGGGGAACTATTCGCATTGGGTTGTGCTGGAGATAGGCTTAAGCTATTCTTTACATACTTCTTTTCCTTTTTCCGGTAAGGCAGTCTTTTTCTTAGATATGTAAGTCATGCTGGACAAAGAATACTTTCTAAATGTCGACAGTCTTCTTCTAAAGTTCCCTCCTGAAAAGAAGTATAGGAGAGGGTCAAAGCAACAATTTGATGCAGCCAGAGACAAGGTTACGACCACTGACTTCTGCATTCTCAAGATAGAATCACAGGGTTTAGTTTCATTGTGTAAAAAGTGAAGGTGGATGGTGCGTTGAATATGATATGGCATGAAGCTAATTAAAAATGCAGCTGTCACAACTATGATCATACCTATGGCCCTTTTACGACTTGACAGATTTTTCTTCATTGAACTTTTTAGTAAAGTAAAAATGATCATTGTATAACAAACAATTATGGTGATGAAAGGGATAATGAAGCCAATGAATAGTGCCACATAGTGCAAGACCAAAACATAATTTTTAGTTTGATTGTCCTTTGGAGGCTCAAAGCACTTGGTATTATTTTTCTCATCTTGATACGTTTTGGTCATTAAAACTGGAGAACTGGTTAAAATCACAAACATCCAAATGCCAACACACACAAACCTGGCTTTTTTCTGTGTAACCAAATTGATGTTTTGAACTGGGAAAACAATTGCAACACACCGGAAAAAACTCATGGCTGTCATGAAGAAGATGCTGCAGTAGAGATTAACATACAAGGCATAGGTGCTGAGACGGCACAGGAAGTCACCGAAGAACCAAATGCCTTTATGAGCATAATAGACCACACGGAGAGGCAATGTGCAGACACACAGTAGATCAGCAATAGCCAAATTAATCATATATACTTGGAAGGCTGATTTCTCATGATATGTTTTTACAAGAACATAGAGCACAAAACTATTGCCCAAGAAACCCACAACAGAAATCATAGAATATAAGGTAGAATACACTTGATTGCGGAAGTCATCGATACTGTCATGGCACGTGCTATTATTGGCAGAAGATATTGTCACATTTCCAGCTTCACCCATGTTTCTCTAAGAATGTCTGCTTGGTGCCTGAAATATATAAAACATCTTGTAAATTTTTAGGACATCTTAAATTATGAAGTATTGTTTCATTGCATAGTATCACTATATCTATGTTATTAGTGAGTTTATAATAGATAATAGTTACATTTTTCTTGGGAAATTGGCACATATATGTAACTTATTAACAGTGGTTGTTATAGTATCTATTTTTATCTTCACTTCTGTTGCTTAGATTAACTGATATACAAGATTGGGAAAATAATTGAATATTGGTGCCTGCTTTCAAGAAATCTTAATTTTTTCCTTGTCTTTTTTGTTTCAGTTTATTTTAAATATAGTATAATAATTGATAAGACATTAGGAACAGTACATATTTAGAAGACCAAGATGAGAGGCATTCAAACATGGGTTTTGTATTACATATTGCTGTCCTCCATGTAGTTGCTCAGATCACAGATATCAGCAAATAGAGTTGCTCAAGGTGAAAATTCTAAACATTAAGTGCTATTTTCAAAAAAACTGATGGAAATTATTAGTACAATCATCTCAGCCTATGTAGTTTGTCTTAATCACCTTTTATCTATTTACCCATTCTCCCTATCATCCTCTCACCTTCATTTTCTCCTCCATCTTTAAAAAAATCTGCTATTTGGTTTTATATCATCTCTTAATTTATTTTATTCTTTTATTTGTATTTTGAGTTTTCTATATAAGAGAAATTATGTAACAATTAACTGTCTGTGTCTGGCTTAATTTACCTAATATTATGGTCTCCAGTTCCATCCATTTTCCTGCATATAGTATGATTCCATTTTTCTTTATGGCAGAATAATATTCTATTCAGTATATATACCACTTTTTCTTTATACATTTATTTTGCTTACAAGCATCCAGGGTATTTTTAGAGGTTAGCCATTGCGAATTGTGCTTTGATAAATATAGGTATGCATGTAGCACTCACTACTTATATAGTATTATGTCTTATACTTTTTCAGGAATATGTCCAGGAGATGTACAGTTGGGTCAAATGGATCTTTCTTTCTTTCTTTCTTTCTTTCTTTCTTTCTTTCTTTCTTTCTTTCTTTCTTTCTTT